TGACTTATTCACTCCTGTAATCTTTGTACTTGTCAAAAAATAAAAAAATAAAAACAGCCTACAGTAATCCTTATCTTGTTATGCTGATTACTCATTATACAGCTCTGCTTAAAATAAAACAAGTTGGAAAAACAATCTCACAGCAACTAGCAGATCATCTGCACAGGCTACAAACATGCAAAGCACACAAAGACAGTGTACATTAAATGCTAAATTGATAGTAGGGACTGTCTACACACAGATATTATGTATAATAATAATTATGCAATTTATTTGTATAGCACTTTTCAGAACACAGTTACAAGTGCTTTACAGAACAAGATAAAGACGTGATAAAACAGTGTGCAATAAATAGTAGGTATGTAAAAAGCAAATGAGAAAGGAGGGATAGAAACTTAACAAACAACAGATTGACTATATACAAAAAAAAACCTTCCTATAAAAGTAAAAGTTTTGATGAGTGATTTAAAAAAGGTATTAAGTTAGCTAACCTAAATTCTCTAGGTAGGGAGTTCCACAGCTGCAGGGCCCAGTTTCCTTTTGTAGCTCGGCAGGCTGTGGGAACAGTTAAGAGGGTCCCACCTGAGGAGCGCTGGCAGCAGCTAGGCTTAAGGCACGAGTAAATCTATAATATAGGTAGGAGCAAGGCCATGTAGGGCTTTAAAAGAAATTAGTAATATACCTGACAGGTAGCCAGTGTCAACGGTTTTGTCCCTTAGGTTACGTTCACAGTGCAAGCCTTACGCTCAATTCCGATTTATTGCTCAGATCAATTTTTTTTTTTTTAGTTTGGCACTGATTCCAGTGTAAACAGGTCAAGGTCCTGAAGTGACCTGCATGACAAATGTAGATCTCAAAATTTCACAAGAATTCTGTGTGAAAAGTGTTCACACTGAGGTCATATTGTAAAAAATTAGACCTATATCTGTTTTGGATCACATCTGAGAGTGTCCAAAATCGTAATGGAAAATATCAGAGAGAAAAAAGTGTGTGTACAGTACAAAATATAACCATCATAACGTCTTTAAGAACACTGAGAATATCATATATTTTGATTTTAAAGTGGAAGTTTAAATAGATAGATAGATAGATTACCTGTCATTAATGAGTAGTAATTTGGATATGACAAACTCGGGAAGTCCGGAGTCATGTAGTCCACCTTCACCCCATTGTCAACGAGCTCACGAAATCCGGGTAGTGCGTGCAGGTCATCCATGTAGTCATATCGGAACCCATCGATCAGGAACACGAGCAATGGATAGGCCGCGAGACACTGCTGCCCTGCCCCGAACAGCAGTATCAGGTGCGGGAAGAGATGCAGGGGGCACGCGGGTGTCCGTCTCAGGGACATGATGGTGTCGCCTCGTGCTGTGCTGTAGACGAACACACTCGTGACCCGGTCGGGCGATGGCTCGCCCCAGATGCAGCTGTCGGGGAATGATGTCACAGTTCTTCACACTGCGGTGGGTGGGGTTACACACTGATTTGGAAATATCGGACAATTCAAAGCCCTGACAGTATTGGCCTCCATCTCACCCGACTTATAAATAGATAAAACGCAGGCTAATGTCACTACGATAGCAATTGAAATGATAGTATTATCCACCAAGTAAAAGCCATGCATTAATTAGTATTATAAGCTAAAGTGACTATTAAAAGTAAGTTGTCACAATTGAGACTGGCCTCTACGGAGTGTTTTTATTATGGAAAGCCCCTATATAGTTGGGTACTTTAATTCATATCATGTTTCAAAAATAAAAACATTTCTTTAAAGTAAATAGTAGCACTACCGTGAAATACATGTAGGCTATTAGAGTAAAAGTAGGCCTACAATATTTTCCTCTGAAATGT